AAAATACTGATGCTCTGCCATGACGGCCCAGAATCTGGTAGTCACGGCGGATTTTGAAGGATATACAGAAAACTGACAAAAAGGTTCTCTTGGCCGAACGTTAAGAATAACACTGAAGAGTATGTAAAGTCATGTCGTCGCTCCCATATTCAAAAGGTCAAGTTTAAGCAAACCATGGATGAGATGACTCTGCCTGAATACTCGGAGACTATCCGAAGTTGTCCGTCTAGATTTTGAGAAAAGTAATATTTTTCACCCACAATGTGCAAAGAAAAGAAAGCAATAGCTGTAGCGCAGTCGCGCATCACGGTGGGATGGTGCCGTCATGCACCTGAGGACGGAGGTGCGATGTGGTTAGTACTCATAGCCACCGCAGCTGGCATCGTGGATGCCACTGACACCTCCCACCAGTGATCTGTAAAGTTAGTGGGTAAGCACGGTTGAAGTTTCTAAAACCAACCAACATTACACATAGCAACTGGATACTGCCAAAGTGAGATTTCGCATAACGCGAGTAACATTTGAAAACAAGTCTTTCAAGCAGGCGACACAATGAATCTCTCTTCATTGCTCAATTCTTGGCAGAACGCCAGGGCTGCCCTCTTTGCTCCCTGCGTGCGGCCCTCGGTCCGGGGGGACGGGAAGTCCCAACTCTGCGATTTCCCTCTCCTCGTGGCAAGAGGGGAGAGAAAGGTTTTTTCATTCTCCCCGCACGCACTGCGAGGACAAGGGACAAGGACAAAATCCCTGCAAAGTGTCGCCGATAAAGCTATCGCTTTACAAGAAAAGACAGTGGTTGCACGACCCGGAGATCCTTCACAGCAGGCTTAGGTTGTAGCCCGGACTTTGCAGCGACTGGAAAGTCTCCTGCCGACCATGCTTTGGGACTGGAAGAGAACTTAAAGAAAGGTTTAAAACTGAAGCCGACCAAGGACGGCATCGAAGCTCTATCGACAAGTGCCACAACACCAGCATCCCAAACCTAAAGGTTGATGACTTTGTTCTTGTTAGAAGGCAGCCACACAACAAAGAGAAGGGTATCGATGGGCCATACCGCGTTATGAAATCTGCAACGCAACAAGGTATCCTAAAAACTCTGGTACATCGACCCAGGAAACATCATGGAAACTGCGTCAATTGGGAACATCTTCCAATATCATCCAAAGATGGATGAGTCTAAAGCCTAGTAGAGTGAAGTAGTCTTAAGAACGACTAAGACCAAGGATAAAACGGAGAGCCAGAAGAAGACGGAGAGAGCCTAGGGGCGAAAGATAAACAGATGTTTTAAAGTAACTAATGAGTCTGAGTGGAACAATAGGGAATGTTACATACATAATAATGAGACAAAAATGCATGTACATGGTGAGACTGTAAGAACCAGCTCATTTGGCACATGTTGCCAAATTCTAATCTTAATTCTGCATACGTGAAAGTGGGCGTGCAAACGTTTTGCACAAAAGATTTGTTTATTCTTTTTATAGCTCAACTCGGAGGTGGTGCCATATTGAAAATAGTGAAAAAATGGTGGCCATGCATTTTTTTATGACCTATGCGGGCGGAAGCTAAGGGAAAGGAGAAGACGAGAGCGTGCGGGGACGCTGGAACGCTGAACTTTAGTTGGAATGATTAGATGAAATGTAAAGCTAGCTACCTTTGTCTCCACTGCATTTGTCAAATGTGCTCAAATGCAAAAGCCAAACGCCGGATGCCGGTGTTTCGGATTATTGCGCGTTCGACGAGTGCAGTGGAGACAAAGTTGTGCGTCTACTCACTTATCATTCCAACCAGAGCTCAGCATTCCGACGTCCGCACATGCTCTCGTCTCCTCCTTTTTTCAGTTTCTGCCTGCATACCAGACGTTCGTCGTCTGGACACTGGTTTGTGAGCTTGCTGCCAGATGGTCATCGTTGATATACTTTGTTGAAATTATTACTCATCACAATTATCCTGCTTGTCGTCAGGGTTTTTGCGTTGAGCAAGTCGTCCGGAAGCGAGCTTGCAAACCAGTGAGCAGATGACGAACAGGTTGGTTTAGGACAAAGGAAATGCATGGCCTCCGTTTTTGCTTTATTTTTAATAGTTCACCACCTCTGAGTTCATTTCAAGAAAAGCTAGACATGAAACTTCTTGCAAAACGACGTTCGTGTGCCCCGCTTAGAATTAGAATTTTGCGAGGCATTACAAAGGTGCTGGTCCTTATGACCTCACCCTGTAGTTACCCAGTTTGTCCCCGAAATATTTCTCTGTATAGCAGGGTAAGAATAAAGGAGCTTCCAGCTGAAATGGAGCGCGGCTTGTGCCTTCTGAGTGACTGGTGGCCACTGAAAAATCCTCCTGGTTGGGGATGTCCGTATTAACAATGTTCATGTTAGTGAGACATGACTATATCAGCAGTGTTCAGTACAATCCAATTCATCTAAGGGTAAGCTTGGGTTGGAATGCTGTAATTAAGTCTTTCCTGACCGCACCCATAGGCCATCGATCACCAGTGATTTTTTTCTAAGAAATTAAATCAAGCCCTCAAATAATAAAATTTAGTGGAGAGAATTATGTTCCACAATCTGGTGGGGTAGTTGGAGAACTGTATTTTCGGTTTCAACGTAGGTATGAGCATTATCACTAGCTGGTGAGCTGTCAAAAATAGTCCTTGGAACGGTGATTGCACCTGTCTAACATGGCTGACTGCTAGCATCAGTCTTCGTGACAAAGGTGCCATTATGTACATAATTCGGCTGTATTGTGGCATCTTTTTTTAGACCTCAAAGGCTCTGGGGACACTTTAAATGATGTTATAGGCGTCACTTAACTGATGCATGTTGGTAAGCATCGCTCTAATTTCCAATGCTGTCCCGAGCCGGCGTGCACATTTTATGTTCCCAAAAAGGCAGACAAAAAATGTGAAATATGAAGGAAATGCAATCAAGGCTAACACAAAACCAAGGTAGAAGACAAGGAAAGTGTTCTGCTAGGGATGTGAGGTGTACTATCTTCGTTTCAACAATATACTAAGCATTCCTTCGTTGAAAAGCACACGTGTTGCAGAGGCTAACACTCTGGCAAACTAAAAATATACAGCGTCAGTTGGAGTACACTAACTTTCGGAAGTAATAGCCAGGGGTGTGGGGCACATTTTGCATGTTCTCTGAATTTTTTGTTTATTTTTTGTTTAACTTGACATACCGTAGAATACTGCGCATCCGCCCAATCCACATTAAGCGTCCATTCCCAAATCTGTAAGATCTGAGAAAATATGCACAGTACATTTATATGTTAAATTGATGACTGGAAAAGTGCCCATCCCCCATTTTTTTGTGATTATCTCCAAAGTTTGAGTGGGCGCTTGCCCTGTATTTTACGGTAGCTGTGGAAGTAGTTTCGGCATTCATCCGCCTGCTGCACGTACACTGAATTGTCAAGAAATAAAATTTTAAAATCTTTTTTCACATTATATTAACATCTGTTTCTTTTGAAAGAACAACTAATTGATCTTATTTTGATGTGTCATATTGCTTCATAAGCAAATAAGTGAGGAGAACAAAAGCATTTGCACGGATCCTTCGAAAATTGCTACTTTTCCCGTAGTCAGAAAAGATTAAGTTGCAGTAATTGAATGTTTTTCACAAAATAGTTGCAGGTTAATAAGCTGCATGGGAAACTATTTAAATTGTGGCACCTTGGATATTAAAATGGCCTGTGTACTTGTCTGTAAATAACCTTGCAAAATACAACCCAGGAAATGATTTTAGAAAATTTGAGCATTCTTGTTACTGTTGTGAGGTATGGAAGATAAAAGAGGCATCTCTAAATTGAACAAATCACAATCAGGGAAGCATGCCATGCTCTAAGCATGTGCACAGGCTTTCCAAAGTGTGAATTTCAGCATTCGTTATTCAGGGTACCATGTAATGTTCTGTACTACATTCCAAATAAGAGCTGCACAGGTATAACAATTGATCTGCGCACATACCCATATTGTGGTGCCTGGATCGCGTCTTTGACTGGTGTGTTTAGGGTCCTATCCCGCCCATACATCAAAAGTGGTCCCCAATTGGCGACAGATGATGTTATAGAAGACGGAGTGTCATGCTGTAGCCTGCCTCAATCCTGCCGGTTGGCCGTAGAAATGCTGGCCAACAGCATGAGCGAACGCGAGTGTCGCTGTCATCCCGGCGTCCCAGGTGTCCCAACTTCCAGCTGTTGTAGCTTCCGTGGACCGTCACAGTGGAGAGCGACCTGCAGCAGAACAGGCGTCTGCCATATATACCACAACTGTTAGGACGCTGCCAGGATCGTGACCGGCGACATGACACTTGTATGACGTCATCAGGAGTAAATCGAGGGACCACTTTTTTGGCCGCGGTAAACACCAGTCGGAGATGCGTTCCAGGCACCATACCCATATGGGGTGTTATGAATTGAGGGTCTTGCCCTTAAATTGGCCGGGAAATCGGCACCTGTACGTAATGAGCTCAAGCTTTCATGAAATGTGTACTTCAGTGGAGCCTTTCACGTTGGGAAATTTCAGGGCATGGCTCTCTTCCCGCGAAAAAATGACAAGCACCGACGCAGATGACCAAGTGAACATAGGGTAGTGCTTGTGGTGCCATCTCCCGATAGACGCAGCAAGCGTACTAGGGCATCATCTGCTTTTGACCGAGTGCCTTTGTCTGCTTGCAGCGCCTATCCGGAGGTGGCATCGAAAGCACAGCTCTCGTTTAACTCGGTCGCCTACATCAGCATCCGCCATTAAAAATTTAAAGATTTTTGGCTTAATTTTTGACGTGAAAGGAGTTGCATTGAAGTTTCACGAGGTGGAATGCACCGCTAAAGTAAATGGCGTGCCTCCTTGTTCCTAACGCGCTACACTTCCGAATACGCAAGTACTTGCGCTAGCACTTGTAGCTATCCTGTATGTGAGTAATTACATGGGATACCTTGAAGTATTAAAGCAATTGGTCGTGCTTTGTGCTGACGTCCTGCGTTTCTTGGTTTCCTCCCAGGTGAGCGAAGAGGAGAGAGCGAGGGAGGACAGGCCACAGCGGCGCTGCGATGCCGTTCATCGAGGATGACCTCCTGTGGTGTCCCAACACGGACGGCAAGATGGTCGATCTCTCCTGTCTGGTACGCACACCGGGACAACTGCCCGGGACGACTGTTTCGCATTATGCGTCGCCTTAACGGGACGTTGCACACCCAGAAAACATGTTGGGGGGGATTAGTGACTGAGCGTGTTAGTGCACCGCTGCAGAATCCAGCTAATCCCGGATTCCATCTCTACCCCTGCCAGTTGCGATCTGGACGAGTGTCGTACCCGCCTGCGGTCATGTTTCACTACTGCGTAATGCACGTTAAAGATTCCAGGCTTGTGGTCGGATCGCACCGGCTAATCTTATCTGCAGCTGAGACACCCGACGCCCATTGAGGCCGATCGACTTGCCACCGCCTAAACAAAGGCAGAACAATGCACCCACACAAAAATGTAATGCAGACTGTGTTATATGGCTGGCTTCTAGCAGTCTCTTGCAAAGCAGTCCTGTAAGGAAAGAGCACCACTCGATTGCCGCATCAGCAGTCAGCTGGGTCTCGCAGCACTAGTCTTGTATCTACAGGGTACTATATTTCTAATCAATATTCGAACATAAAAAAATATTCTATAAATAAACCCATGATCGGAGTGCATTGAAACTTCTTCACTAAGGTGTCATTAGGTGGTGCATTCATCACGCTCAAAGTTCACGAGCGTGGGTGTCAAGGCAAAAACATATGAGCCCTGAAAAATCGTGTGTTTTGATTTATTTTGTTTACGTGCAGGGAGAGAAATGTTAAGAACCGTCTGGTAGTCACGTTTGCTGTTCACAGATGGTAACATGCTCGGATCTGCTGCATCTGCTTTTGGGTGTTCGTCTCAAAGAAGCTTTCACGCTGTTGCTTTGTGTTCCGCCATCTGCAGGTCGGTATCAGCTTCGGCCAGACGGTTTTTGCTGTTTCCCTCCATGTCCATAAGAAAAATACTGGATCTTTTAGGCTTGAATTTTTTTTTTAACTAAAGCCTGGACTTGCAATTGTTTGCTTATAGTGCCAGTTGAACACGAAGGAAGAACACATAGGGAGACTGAAAAAGCAAATACACCGCTGGACTAGCAAATTTTAATTAAGAACATCTTTTTTCTTTACCTCTATTACATTTTACTTAATTTTACTTATATTTTTTAAACAAATTTTATTTAATTTTAGTTGCATCTGAATTAAACAGTAGCTAGTCCAGCTCTCCCCCTTCAGCTCCTTCTGTTCAGCTCAAATTCTTTACTTGTCTCCAAATTGGAGAAGGGAGACAGAGATAAAAGCATCAAAATTGTTGCTTGATGCACGTCCATCTCCCTCAGCAGTGACAATGAAAGCAACCTCAAACAAATACAAAAAACTGAAATCATATAACTAGTTTAGTACTTATACATTTAAAACATAGATCGGTAGAGCCCCGCACGGATAACCGTTTGATCATCCGCAGACATTGTATCCGCGTTCGAATCGCATCCGCAGTGTTATTGAAAAATTGTATCTGCATCCGATCAGCTTCTACAGACTTTGTATCCACATCCAAACCGCATCCACAAAATTCTGAACCGTATCCAACCCTGAATTCGTGCAATCATTTTGCATCCTAAAACTAAGAATAAATTAAAGTTAAAAAAACATCTGTATGGTATCGTATAAACCATCTGCTTTCCTTCGTACAAAGAACTCTTGATGTCACAATACGGTGAAAGTCATTTTCATATTCTGTTTTATTGCGGTGCAACAATTTTTGTACTTTGCGCAAGTACAGCTTAGAATGGATTCCTGACGTTAATGACCTATGAAACACGCGTTCGTTTTTTACTCCACGCAATAGAAGCCCCAGAAAAATAATTTAAGAAAAACGAGCAGTGTTCACCCTCTCAACTCGCAGCCAGAACAAGCGTCCACGTGATCATGAGCCGATTATATGCCGCCAATGTTGATCAGAGCCACGCGCTGGTGTTGGCAAAGCACAGGGCATGCGCTGAGCTCCAGACATTCTTATGGCTCGGCTATTGTCGTCGTTGCAGCGATTGGACACGGGCCACTACCCGAAGGCTTCTCGAGCTAGTAATTATCACGAGCCCAAATCGAGTGCCCACGCAATTTTTGGGTCCAATCTATGAACCGCATTCAAATACCGTCATTGGGGTGTACTGCAATCCCCACATTACGTCACCAAATTTTGCAAAGGAGAGATTGAATGAAAATGATTGCTTTTGCCCTTGAAATTACACCGCAACAAAGGAGTTTCTTGGCCAGTGGCATTGCGTGCGAGTATCCTTGAGTCCCACTAGTGCCATTAAGCTTGTGTAAAGTGAAAAACATTCCAATTGAATATTGTTGCCCCGCTCCTTTAAAGATGCTTTGAATCGCTGGAAAGATGATCACAGTTAGGAGATTGTCTTGGGAGTTTGAGCCAGTGACTCTGTCCAGAAGATGCACTCAAAAGGAAGGAAATTTTATTATTTATAGTCCTTTTCGCTTTGTAGAACCCACTTCAAGCAGACACATATTTTATAGACATGAAAATTAACAAAGGGCGGACTAATAACATTCTGCCATTTTATTTAGGCCAAACAATAAAAAAAAAGTGGGAGAGGAAAGGCGCTCACTCGCCGCAGCGAAGTACTCGTATGTATGTGGTAAGGTGCAGGTACACCACTCGGAAAATATGACAATATTTAGTAATGGCTACACCTCCTAACAGTTTCAGTTTTAAACACGAGCCCTTAACTGCCTGCTCGGAACCATATACTTAAATACAACTCAGTGTCGACTGCCGAGAAGAAGAAAATGCACACGCACAACGTTTCACTTGTCAAGGTTGCTGTGTAAAAGAAACAGAATATCGTCAACATGGACAAATTCAAACTGGTTCACCTTTCTTAAAGGGCAACTCCGCTTCATTTTTGGATTTTAAAAAAAACAATGCAGTCCTCTTCAGTATCGCCTACGAAGACCCCACGTCAAATATTACGACGCAGTTCTGTCTAAACCTTCCTTAAACGCTCCAGCAAACTTTGCAACTCGCCAAGTTGCCGAAATCGGCTGACTTGAGCGGGCGCATTCAGGTGCAACTAACGGCGCAGTCAAGGCTACGGCATGGGCGTAGCGAACATTGAGCTGAACGTCATCACCATTGCCTTCTTTTGGTTGTTCTTACTTCTCTAGGCGTGCGTAGCCCATGATGTCAGCGACGTTGCCTCTCGGCGCTCAGCGGTGTCCACGTGGTTGGCATAACTCACCTGCGCAGTGCGCTTCTTGGGAGCCATTCGGCTGCCCACCGTGGTCGCACCGTTATTGCCGTCTTCTGCAGCACAACCGCCATCGTCGTGTCACTGTTTGTGATTATTGCCTCTCAAAGTTTCGTCTACACTACGGGCACCATGTGCGCAGACTTATGCCGCAGTGGTGCAGACTGCAGACGTCGAATGTCATAGACACCAAAACGTGGCGAAGAGTGTGGTGCAGGCGACACTTGCGCCTGCCACACGCCCTCCCCAATCCTGCCTGTCGTTGGGCCGAGGATCCCGTGACATCTTGTACCACGTGATGGCCATGTTCTTGGCGGCCCGAGGCCAATGTTGCCGGACGGAACCGAAGTTTCAGTTTTGATTTCCGCTCGTATTTAAAATTATATTTAAAAATATATATCCCATTTTTCGCGAAGCAAACGACGTAGTGTCTTTTACTAAAGCTTTTTAATTCGAAATCTCTCATTATCCCGAAATCTTTGGAATTGAGCACTGTTGCCCTTTAAATTGATACCCGCTAATGCCAAGTTTCTCCGATGGTGCACTTGATGCTGGGATGGCATGCACGAACTGCGCTACAAGAGTGAGGTGCGGAAACTTGTGCTGGCGCAAGTTACACCACTCCACAGGATCAAATTCAGTCTCCTCAATCTACTTGTAGGCAAAGGAGCCCCTTGCAAGCTTCTTCTACTTTCTTGTGGCTTGTACAGTTTGGGTTTTCTTTTGCCCAAAGAATGCTTTCCGCTCTTTCCTTGCCAAATAAAAACATGCTTTCCCGGGGCGATCTATACCCCCGCATTTTTTTACTTCTAGGGACAGCATTTTTGACAAGATTGAACGTTCTAAAGCGATCTTTGCTGAGAATCAAATCTTTCTCAGCGTAAAGAAATATTTTTTCCTCGATCAACACCTTTTATTTAAGAGAGTATTTTGCCCCCGCAATACATTCAATGATGCACTTCATAGTATTACTCATTTTATTCATTCTACGCTGTGCAGTCACACACGTTTATGGGTTGGCTTGGCAAAGATGTAGATTCGGTCCTACAAACACCCGCATCCGATCCGCAATCTGCCAAATCTGATTCATTTTTATCCGTATCCGCCAGTTTACTGCGGATATCCGCGAATGATTTGTGGATAATCTGCGGAAGTGCAGGGCTCTATAGATAGGCGAATCCTAAACAAATAATTACTATATTTTTAGCAGATTCATTCAAAGTTTCAATGCTATGCGCACAAAAAAAAAAAATGTTAAAGTCGGGGAAGTGTACATTTTAGCATCTGACTGCTGCAAGTTGTTCTGGAGTGCTGTGCTATCCATGCCTCAGACCTATGAGTTTTGTGTACTGCTTCCATATGCTCCAGGTGAGTGATTACTATGTAAACATTTTTATTGTAGTTAATGCATTGTAAGAAAAAGTAAGTTATATTGATTTTGGATTTGCGCAATATTTATAGTTTATTAAAGAGTACTTTCGTATAACTGTCTTACGTAACACGGCATATAATAGGAATATCTTTTTTTTTTTGTATATCTATTTGCTTAAATTTGTGAAAATTGTGCTTCCCCAGACTAAGAAGCAGTAGGTATATTGTGCTTAAAAAATAAGAATTGTAGGTCAAAAACATTACCAACGTTGGAACATATCTTAATATTTATGCATAATGCCAACAGCCCTTGAGAGTTCATTGCTTAGATGTTGTGCAGCATCATCCCAGACCATGAACTGATTAAATATTCCCAGGATTTTTACTTTCCACTATATCTACCTATATTATTTGCACAGCCACTTGAAGTCAGTT